CCGATTTACTTCATGACTTCCAACATATCAGTGAGTTCTTTTATACATGCTGGACTCTGTGGCAGAATGCAAACATGATTTTACTCCCCCCTCCTTCGCTGCTCTTCTGTTGTGCCTGCCAACTGGAAAACATAGTGAGGCTGAATGGTGTCCTCAGACTCAGTGCTGTGCATTCATCTGCAACAACACAGCCTCCAGAGAACAGGTTAAGCAACAAATGGCCTGTTTGTATATGGTTTACCTTAAAGGGAGCCTTTTCCCTACAGCTTGGGCAGGACAAAGGTTTCAGACATGGAGTCTATCCTGCAGATCCTGAAAAATAGTTTTAAATCAAGTATTTATAATTTCCTTGTGATGTAGCAAAAGATAAACACCATTTATTTAATTAAGGCATGTAGTTGATATCCAAGACAATGAATATGTAGGGCATGTGTGTTATATATTTACCTGAGAGCTTTGTTAACTTTGGCTGAAGAATAATGTAAATGTCCTCTCCTGGCTTAGTTACATTTCATGCCCATTTTACAGAGGTGTGAATGAAAACCCAGTGCAAAATTTAGGTGTCTGCTGTGCAGCTGCCTGGATTTGAGCTGCTTGCCTTAATTCGCTTTATAGTCAGTGGAGTTAAAAATGTAATTTCTGAGATCTGCCTTATTCAAAACATAGTGGTTGACTTAAAAATACAAAATCCTTTCTCCCCACTGACAAGAAAGGGGGTTTGGTTCTTTGGTTCATCTGTAGCTAGACTATACATGGATAAAACTCAAAGGTGAAAAATCAATATGAGGAACTGGTTCTGTTACATTTTTCTCCATTTTGAAATGCATTTATTTGGTCTTTAATGAGATCCAATGTGCTTCAAAGTTCTAAAAAAGAGTAAGTTCTCAGCCATTTCCCAAGTTGGCTCAGCTTTGTCATGGGGCTCACAGACAAACTGTCTGATTTTACATGACCCAATTAGTTTTAATAACTTTCCATTCAGACAGCATTCTCACCTGCCAAAATAGAATTTTTCATGAATTACTAAATCAGTAATCAGTTCTTACTGACTGTCAGCTTCAGTGAAAGCCGATAGGAAGACATTCTTGGATTGTAATACAGGCATAATACAAGCTTGGAGGGACTCACTATATTTCATCCCATTTTTGTCAGCCTTTTCCAGCCACTTACATTCCTCTTTTCCCAGGTGCCTTTTATTAGCTTGTTGAAAATCTGTGGGAAGTGAACACTAACCTTCAAAAGATTCACAACAGGTGAACCTCTCCTCTTCTGACAAGTCAGAAGAACCGAACAGTATTGGAGTCACTGCAAACCAGTAACAGTACCTTACTACTGCATTAGTTTACTATTACCAGAAAGCTACCTAGGTCTTAATTAAACAGCAGATCAGTCTCCCAAGAAAAATGCAGTTTGGCAAGAAGTGGGAAGCAGAAACGTAAATATATAATTAAATATTTTTATTTTCTTTAGTGTCTGTTTTCTTTTAAAATTCCTCATGAGGACTATGTTCAGAAATCAGTACCTAGCTGTAAACATCTGACTGTATTGAGGCAGTCACGTATAAGGTTGGGGGAAAAATGTATGTCCTAAATATTATCCTATAAGTTTGACTATTAATTGTGATGTGGGAAGCTGGACTGGCTTTCAAGTTCTATTCTTCACAAATTGTGTTGCAAATGAATGAAAATACTGAAAGAAAAGGGAAGAATTGCTATTGCCTAACCACAAAAGTCCAGGCAAGCTGCCATAAGAACATTATTGAAGCTCTAATTCAATAATTAGATCCAGCTACAAATGTATTAGCTTAGCCAAGTCCTCTAGTTGGCAGAATGTCTTAAATTTCCTTTGATACATGCTGTTGTTCGGGCTGTTAGCTTAATACATCATTAGATAGTTTACGGATTGCTTGTCTGTAAGTTAATATGTTCAATATCAACTTGTTAATTAGATTAGTTTGGTTTGGTATTTTGTTAGGAATAGCTTAATTTTTATATGAATTTATAATTTTATTTCATTACAGTTACAGATATAACATTGTTTAAACCAGTAGCGTATCCAAGTTTCAGAAAAAACTGTAAATGTCTTGTAGGCAAAGTACAAAAAAAGGTACTTTTCCAGGACTTCAGTGAGAGGGAATGTTTTTTTGTTGTAGGCAAGGAGAATTCATCTTATGTCTTTTCCAAGTTCAATGCTGTGTGTTTACTGTGACTCTCTTCCAGCAAATTTTACATGGCTGCTGATGTGGCTTGTTGGGGGACTGGATCATAGGTGTCTTTTTTTAGAGTTCTGGTTGCTCCAGGTAACCTAAACACATTTCAGACAGCTAAATGCATGCAGACCCCAGAGCTAGTAGTGGTCTCATGTAGATGTACACCTTTGTAGTAAGGTTCCTCTGAAACACCCCTCTCTACAAGCCAACATCCATAATCTTCCGTGGATGATCTCAGTTGGATCTACTAGTTGACATCCTAGGGCAAACTGGTTTGCTATCCCAATTTCTGCAACTCCCTGACTCTTGTTACTTTTCAGAAGTCTCCAGGGGTGCTTGTAAACAGTTAGACAGGACTGAAGTGGAAGAGATTTGTATGGGCAGGACACAGAATTTCTTTTCTCTAGGTGTGCTGTATATCTCAGCACAGGGTTTTGGTCAGGCATCTCTCCTTCCCCAACCCTGTGCCTGCTATCTACTACTTTCTTGAAGACAAGATTGCTTTGACTGTGTTTTCCTACAGCCCCTTTGAACAGATGTCCCACAGGATAACTGAACAGTCAGGAATCCCAGGAGGGCTGCTGGAGTGAGACTTGAGGGATGATCAGGCTGTAACTCTGAACACAGAATTGAAAATGCCCTTGTGTTGATCCCTTCAAAAGCCATTTATTACACCCTAGGCATATATTTGCTGGCCTTCCTGCAATGGCAGATGTGGATGGCAGTATCTTCCTGGCCTTACACAGATGTGCTGGAGTGAGCCCTCCCTGCTCTACTACTACCTAAAAGGAAAGAGCAACGAGGCTGGTGAAGGGACTTGAGCACAAGCCCTATGAGGAGAGGCTGAGGGAGCTGGGGTTGTTTAGTCTGGAGAAGAGGAGGCTCAGGGGTGATCTCATCACTCTCTACAACTACCTGAAAGGAGGTTGTAGCCAGGTGGGGATCAGTCTCTTCTCCCAGGCAATCAGCAGTAGGACAAGATGGCATGGGCTTAAGCTCTGTCAGGGAGGTTTAGGTTGGATATTAGAAAGAAGTTCTTTACAGAGAGAGTGATCAGGTATTGGAATGGCCTGCACAGAGAGGTGGTGGATTCACCATCCCAGGAGGTTTTTAAGACAAGGTTGGATGTGGCACTGAGTGCCATGATCTAGTAATCACAGTGAGGTTGGATCAAGCGTTGGACTTGACGATTTCAGAGGTCTCTTCCAACCCAGTTAATTCTATGATTCTATGATAAAGTTACCTGGATTTGTCCACAGCCTTATTACCTCTGCTAGTGCCAGTCTGGCTGTACTTCACTCCATTTACTAGGAGGAAATGTTACTCTTAACAAAAACAGAGAAACCTATCTAGTCACTAAGCAAACCTACACCATCCCTTGTACAATGGAGACTGTCTACTGACTCCCCAGTCAGATGTGATTTTCTCTTCCAGTCATCTGCCTCCCTGTTTCTGTTCAACAGCTGTGATGCTCTTATTCCGTGGAAAAAAATCAGGCACATTTAAAACAAAGCAAAAACCAGAACAAACACAAAGAAATCAAATTAAAGAAATTGTTTTAAAGCATTTCAATACTCACAAGATGTTTTGAGACAGTTTCGTGTTTAAAATGTTAATATTATTTCTGGCAATCAATCTCATTCTTTTGTTGATTTTTCCAATCTCTCAGGAAATTGGAATGAAAACATTTTACTGATGTTACTATCCCTGGGAAAAGCTTGTCAACATGGATCCAGGTTTATTCTGGAAACTCAAAATATTTGGCGTGTGGTTTTGTATTTTTCCTTCATCAAAGAGATTATGTGAGGCTAAGGTCTGTTCACATGGAGGCAGCGAGAGATACTGACACTGTAATTAAAACAAAAGGCGACCTTAAATATCTGTGTGCACATATATGCAAATATCCCTTTTTGCAAATGATAATACGAGAAAGTCATTGCATTACAGTAGCTCGCTCATATGAAAGCTGAGTAGATGCTATAGGGATGCATATGTGGAAGAAATATATCTCTGTCACACACACTTCTGTAGTGGTTCTGTGAGCATTGGGGATCAATGAAGCCTGATTTTTGTATGGATTTGTGTCTTGAGGTTGAGACCCTGTCTGGACTTTGAGGTCTCCCATGAAGTGCTGCACTTTTTACCTCAGTGAAGCATTAACTGCAGCTCTTAACCGGCTGCCTATTTTCAGAATACTTTTAAGGGCTTAATAGTTTTTGGATTTCAATACCTCTCAAATGTGCTTGATGAGCTTAAGCATTTGAAGATTGACAGAGGTCTCAGACATTTGAAGAGGTGGCACAGTGTCTTAAACACGGTTTCTACAAAGTGAGGCTAAAGCATCCTCAACACATATGGAGAAGAAACATAAAATACAAATTAAAACAGAAAACATGAATTTAAACATAAATAGAAAATTTAACAGCTAGGGAAGAAAAGATAAATACACAGATTAACCATCAATCACACAGGAAATCTTTCACTGACTGTGAGAATTTAGCTCCTAACTGCAATTTTTCTTTTTCAAAATCTCCTACACATTCTCTTCTGTAAATGTATGTAAAGTTTCTCACGTTGGACATTAAAAAAAAAAAAATTATGCATATGCCCATGGGCCTGGGAGTAAAGAAACTAATTTTTGATTGAAGCTGTCAGAAAAATTCCCTTTTTTCACACGTCCGTTTATGTGTTTCTTTTACAATTTTTAATTAAAAGATATTGATTTGGCATTTTGAGATTTCTGTGATTAGTTAAAAAAACAACAAACAAACTGAACAAACTCCACTGAGGATCTTATTGGCTTTGGAGTTTAATTTTGGCCTGTAAGAGAAAGAGCAATAGCTCAATGACAACATTGTTATGACAGAAAAGTCCAGACATGAGAGCTTTAAGAGTTTTAATTTCCCTGAGAGGTCATAAGGTCCCCAGCTTCCAAGTACTTAAAAAGACAAATCAAACTGAAGAGTTGAGTCAGGTTCATTAGCTCTGGCAAATCACAGTTACTACAGTGAATGCATTCTTCCTTGGGTTTGTATTAAAGCAAAGGTTTGCTGCACACCAAACAATGCTTTTGGCTGTATTTACATTTGTTATGCCCTTGTCATCATGGCCCGGTGATTCTTATAAAAGACCAAATTGCGAGCGGAAATGCAAAGAGATCCATTTAGGATTATATAAACACCCGTCTCCACACCTGTCCCCTGATCAGTGCCATAATTCCGGTTCAAAAAACAGCAGCAACAAACTCAGTGGCTCAGGATGCTCCTGAGATCTCTCATCTTTTGAGTCCTGAAGAGTCGATGGCAGGGATCATGTCCCAGTTCCATGGACGATTCACGGGCAGAACACAGGCTGAGCAGAAATTTGAAGATGCCTCGAGTTCTGAAGCTTGGACGAGGTGCTGGGGGCAGAGGCTGTTAGTGAGGTGCAGGAGGGGAGGGGTCAGACACTGAGGTGAAGAGGTTCCACAGGCTGTCAAGAGAAAACGGGATTGAATTAACAGAGGAAGCTTCAGACTTTCCAGCTCTAAGTCACACAAATCATGAAACTGCTTGAAATATTTCACCTACTCATACATCTCCTTTATCTTTCAGCTCTTCCCCCTTTTTGGTAGTTATTCTCCTGTTCTGCAGTCTTTCAAGTCACACCCTGCACTGATCTCCTGCTTCCTCATCCCCGTTCCCATTTTGGTATCTTCCTGTTACTGAGCGTACATTACATTTTGCAGACCTTTCACATCTTGGAAATGCTGCAAGCAGTGCTTTGGAGCTTAAGTCACTGGATATTTATTTGGTCTATGTGATGACACAGTACTAAACCAGTTGGAAATTTTTCTTTAAAAAAAATTACTCGAGAAACTAAATAAACAGTGGGTTTTTTTTTTTTAAGTGTGGGTTACCCACATACATGCCTCTGATGTATATGGCTCTGATAATAAATTTATAGGATTTATATCCATAGCAAGTTGGCAATATTCAACATTTAAAATGCAATGGAGGTGGAAAGGAGCTAACAACTCAAAAATCTGAAGCAAGTTATTCGGCCAAAAGCAGATCCCTAGCAGCTCTGAGGTGTGAACAGGTTGGTTTTGTTTTGAAGTTTGGTGAACCAAAGCAGAAAAAGGTGAGAGATGCCCACACTTCTGCAGTGTATCTCCAGCCCACAGCATGGTGCCTGAATGGTCACCTGCCACACTTGTGCTGTGGGTAAAATGATGAGGGGCACACATGTCCCTACTTGGGACTGGGAAACATGCCCCAAGACTGCTGTGAGGCACTGAAGTGGTAGGATGGTGTAAAGCCTTCCCCAGCCCTTCTCTTTTACAGGGTCACTGCACATGTTATGTTTAAAGCCAGAAATAAAAATCTGCCAGGCCAAGCTTCTCCATGTCAGGAGCCTGAGAGCTGCCAGGATTTCAGAGCACGACAGATGCAGTCTGTGATTCACATGCACTGGGACTGGAGTAATAATTGGCAAACTAAAATTTGTAGGATACGACTCTCATGAAAGCATGGGACGGGTCCCACAGAAAGGGACCTCCTTTGATGTTCATCTGGATGTCATACAGGGTGGTGGCCAATGCACAGCACATCTCCTCCTGAATGGGAGATGTTATGAAGAAAAATCTGCTTGCCTGCTTTCTGAAGAGATGGGAAGAAGAAAATCAACTCAGTTTCTGAAAGGATAGGAAAGCATTGACCCCCATCCCCATTCCAGCAGGACTGCCTGGGGAAGGGGAAGTGATGTTTGGCTGGTTGTACAGTGGATGTTGTTTTGGAAAAAAATTGCTTTCTTTTAAATGCCTCCTGCCAGGTCAGGGAGAGCAAATATTCCAAACAGACTGCTGCATGCAGCTGGCTCAGGATCAGTGCTTGTCAATGACATCTGGCTCCTGCACCCCAGTACTCCTCAGTTCTGTCCCTGCACTGCCTATCTTCATTCCATGCAGGGAAAAACAGTGGCATCTATCAATTATTCCAACAGAGTCAAGAACTCCTAATACTTTAAGTTCAAAGTAAAAGTTTATTATGCTTTGTCGGGAAATGGCTGATTCTAGATAATTCTTTTTTTGCAATATCTACTTAAAAACTGATTTGAAACACATACAGGCATGAAACAGCTTGTATTGTTTTTACTGCATTTCTTTTGATTGTGGTACACCGTGGAAGAAAAACAAACACATTCAAAAAAGCAGACACTCCCAGGCTCTACATCTGTAAAGTGCAGCAGAGTTGTTTAGGTCTCCAGACTCCATCCTGTATCTATTTAAACATAGATGTTTCTATATTTATATGAAGGCTCTTGCAAGTGAGGGAACAAAAGCTGGTCCAGACTCCACTCTAGAAGGTATATTCAAAATTAGATCTCTTGCTAAAAGCCCCAGAGAGTATCTCCTTGGTTTTGATTTATAACAGACCAAATTATAAGTGTTTAATCTGGAGAACTGGAAGTCTCCAATGTCTGCACAGGGTCAGCAGACCTGATATTTCTTTTGTGTTACTGCTGCTGTCTATGAGAGACAGGAAATCCAGTCACACAGGGGCCAAACCTGTTGAGAATAGGGACCATGCTGCCTCAGAGCCCTGCTCTTCGTTCAGTGACATTTCACTGAAAGCAAGATGCTCTGAACACATTTTGGGTGCAACACACTGTTCTGGTTTCTTTTTGTTTGCTTGTTTTTGTTTTTTGTGGTTTTTTTTGTTTGTTTTTTTGTTTTTTGTTTGTTTTTGGTTTTTGGTTTTTGTGTGGGTTTTTTGTCTTTTTTGTTGTTGTTGTTGTTGTTTGTGGTTTTTTTTTTTTTTTTTAATGAAACCATTTTGGCAAAGGCTGACCAGCTCTAGTTTTGCTCTCTGATTCCCATCCCTTTCCTCTGAGAAAAAACAACAGACTTATTCACCATGCTTAATCTTCCATGACTTAACAGAAAAAAGAGGCAACACAACATTTAATTTTAAACAATTCCTACCACAATCCTCCCAAAAACTGGAATAGTACAAACAAGAAATAGAGAGTCCCAACTACTATCTACTCTTTTTTCCTGACAATTGTTAGTCCAAATTATGTTATCTGGCAGCTGATAATTTTTAAACACACTGTGGGGCATATTTATTTCTCTTCCAACACTGTTCACAAGTTATCTTGCTTAGTTAAAAAACAAATAAAAATTCTGAGCCCTGGCATAATTTTACCCTTTCTTAACATAATCAAATTACTTCTGGTTTTACCCCAGTCTGTCACATTAAGTCTCAGTTTATTGAGTTGTCTGACTGCTATTTTTATTGTAGCAGTGCCTAAAGACTCAGACAAAGAACGTGGTCCTTTTGTGAAGCCCATACACTAAGGATCCATTATTATTTTGGGTGTAGATACACTTCTCTTCGTAATTACATCCTGAGCTGTGACAAAGTGGCTGCCAGGCAACACAACTGTCAAAACTATATTGCAGGGCATTTGGAAAGCACAAATCAAGTGAAATAATAGAAATGTTTGGACCACAAGGTATAATACAGAACAGCCAGTGCTTGTCATATTGCTCATATCTGATCAGCCTTGGCTAAAACATCCTTATTTCATAATGCCCTTTGTCCTTGCAGAAGGGTTGGTGCTGGTGTTGCCAGTTGGGACTCCCAGATCTCTCTGGTGTTTTGAGGTCTGCAGCACACTTTTCTGCCTAAGTTAGGGCTGCCATTATCCTGTCCCTTTTCTGTCTTTTGTGTCAGCAATAGGCATCATGCAATGGGCCATATCACTCCGCTAAAACAGGTGATTATTTTTTACACTTAACCTTCCAGATTTGGCTGATGTAATGGACAATGAGTGTTGATACCAGCAGGAAGGAGGTGGTGGCAGAATGTGGCTGGAGCAAACCCCGTCCTTTACAAGAGTACTGTGTTAGCCTGATTCATGCTGCTCATCAAATCACACACACGGGATGCAGTTAAGGTGATTTAATGACAGATGGCCACTGAAAAGAGCAGTTCTGCTTTACCTCACTTTCAGGTTTCTGCTTTCCTCAGTCCTGCAGCTGTGTGGTCACAAGGTGGATCAATTCAGCTGTCTGCCCAATGGAAAATTCATTATTTTCTGAGGTGTTATTTTTCCACCAGATCAATCAGCTGAATAGAGTCTGATGGTTACCAGATCCCACGTAAGGGCAGCAAAGGGAGTACACACCATGTGTTGCAGGCAGGATCACCGTGCCACAGCAGCCTGCTGTCAAGTCAGTGTAGCCAAATGATCAGGCTGCTGCTGCTGCATTCAGATGCCACACTGATGCTGGAGACACATTTTGTGTCTCAGCACCCTGACACAGGTTGAACATATCTGCCATCTTTCTACTATGGGTACCTCTGTAATCCCAGAGGAGCTGGTTTAGGGAGCATATTAGTGACCAAAAAAACCTATTCCTTTTTTCCCCAAGGTTAGTTTCATGGTTAAGCCAATTCCCTGTGGGGCTGGAGGAGTACTAGGGTCAGTCCTATATGGGACCTCTTGGCTGGGACAAGGTAATGTGGCTGTGAGATTGGCTTGACTATAATGTCATTTACTGAGATATTTAGGCATTGGTGAATTCAACCTGGATGAGCAGGTCAGCCTTATTTGTAGCTCTGAGGCAAAAGATGTGTGTAAGGGAGCCCCGTATTGCGATCAGTTCTCTCACCTAAATAGAAGAGAACAGTCTGACAGAGAGAAAGCAAAACCTGTATACCAGAAAGCAGTATCTGTATCAGAAAGAGCTGATTCCAGAGACTGAATAAAGCCCCCATAATTAATGGAACTGAATTCTAGACAAGTCTTCCACAAACTACACAAATTGGTTTCTGGCATTGAGGGGGTTCTCTTCCAGAGATTACCTGTATGACTGGAAACAAGTCACTGACTGACTTGAGTTCTCCAGTATCAATGCTGTCATGGAGGATGAAACATTTCTTTGAGTCAAGGAAAGTTCCCTGCGAAAGGAACAGAGAAGGTCTTCAACCGTTGCAGCCATAAGTAATCCCTCTGGATCATAGCGTGACTCGAGCAAGTGGGAACCCCAAGAGGATTCCAGCCCAGGCAGGATGAGCGCTTGGGGGGTCACGCCAGGTTGCTTGGGGCTTCCTCTAGGAGGAAGCCGAGGCCACTCAGCTCCTGGAGGAGCCCGAACCCCTGTCGTCTGGGCTCGCACCCGCTGCCTTTGAGCGGGTTGGCCACTCTCCCCCGTGTTCTCACCGCGGGTGCGGGGTCTGTGCCGGGCGGTGGGGCCACGGCTCAGGCGGCGGTCCCTGAGCGCAAAGGAGTTAACAGGACTTTCTGCCTCTTCCTGCCCGCACCTCCTCCACCCTGCTCATTACCTGCACTTTATCACCGCGGGAGCCGCGCCGCGGGGCGGGAGCGGTGGAGGCCGGCGGGGCTTCCTGCGCCGCCCGGGGCGGTGGGGCCGCGGCGTGCGGGGGAAGGTGTGCGGGCGGTGCGCGGTGCGTGCGAACGAGCGCCTGCCCGCCCGCCCGTGTGCCTGCCTGTGGGTGGGAGCGGGGCTGGGGCTGGGGCGACGCGAGGGGAAGGCGGGCGGGCAGAGCGGGAGGGCGAGCGGGTCTGCGCGCCGCAGCCCGGCAGGGATGCGGCATGGCCGTGGGCTCCGTGAAGATGCCGTCGCCGTGTGAGGGCGCGGAGCTGGCCCGAAGCTGGAACCCCGGCGGCGGAGCCCACGAGCCGCCGCCGCCGGTGCAGCTGCGGCAGAAGCTGCGGGAGCTGCCCGCGCTGCTGCGGAGCGGGCTCACGCTGCGGAGGAAGAGCGCGGCCGCCGCCGGCCGGGTGAGTCAGTGAGGGAGCCCGCGGGCGGCCCGGGCAGCGCCCCCGCCGCCTGCCCGGGGGTCCGCCCCACCCGGCCCTGCCCTGCCCTGCCCTGCCCTGCCCTGCCCTGCCCGCCGGGCCGCCGAGCGGGAGGCCGCGGGCTGTCGGCGCTGGCTCTCCGGGGGTGGCGGGCGGGGACGCAACGAGGGAGAGAGGGAGGAAGGGAGGGAAGGAGGATGCCCGGGAGGCGGTGGGGCGGCACCTCGGCAGTCCCTGGGAGAGGGTGCCTGCGGGTGGCCCCGGGCTCGGCCCAGCGCTGCCAGCTCTGGTGAAAAATGAAATAGCAGGAAGGGTGAGCGCGCGTCCCTGTCCCATCTCCGGGTTCCTGGCGTGGCTCTGCCCTTCCCTTCTTTTCCGCTGCTCTCCGCTGACAGGAGGTACGGCGCGGCTGTGCCCGGACACCGGTGCACACACGTGCTACAGCAGTGAACTCCAGCGTCCCCGGGAGCGTGTGAAGCCGGGATGGACGCACCTGGCCCCAGCCTCACGTGTCTCCGGAGACTGAGGCCGCGGGGTCAGATGGGCATCGCAGAGATCCCTAGCTGAATTTCACTCAAGTTCACCCGTTTTTCAGAAGGCTGGTAGTGCGGTTTTATAGGTCAGGCAGTGCTCCGGTGACGTACAGCCTGGCATTCCTGTGGCTGGGAACTGTGGTGATGAGCGGCCACTCACTCTGAGCTCTCCCTGTTTGTGACTGCAGTCATATCAGAGGGTTGGCATTGCCATCAGGTCAATGACGGGTCGATCAGGTCTAACCTTACTTGCAGGCCAAGGCTGGATTGCAACCCACCTCCTGAGCAGTCTACATGAAAGGGTGGGCTTACCTGCATTGGGTTGGATTTGTCTGTGTGGTAATCAGGCAATGTGGTTTTGGTGCACTGATAAATATCTGTGCAGGGAATTAGTGGGGGGAAGTCCACATGGTGTGTGTTTGTACCCTCATCAACTTTGCAGTACTTTGCCCATGTAAATAGATGCTTTCTCTGCATAGGGAAGTTGTGAAATACAGTAGGGTGTGAATTTCAAACCAAACTTCCTGGGTGAATGCTTTGTAATAAGAAGATATACATGCAAGGAAGGTTAATTTCTTTCCTCAAGGACATTCAACCCACAGAATAAAGAATAGTCTGCATGGAGATGCCTAATGGTTTTTATTCAAGTGAATTAGTAATCCACCTGACAAGCTGTCCATAAGAACACAGAGCCAGGTGGATTCAGTTAGTTTTAAATAGTCAAGTCTTGCTCTGCCCTAAGAGGATGTTTGCAACAGACGTCTTTCTTCCAACAGCGTCCTTTTTCTGAATTGAGTGTAGTTTGTTCCACTTTAAAAGCATACTACCGAAAAAGTGAAATGTGCAGGGAGGATGAAAGAAGCATTGCAGAACTGCTGCTGGTAACAGTGTTCATTTGCAGGCAGGTCTGAAACACTGTTTTAGCAAGACAAATTCATGAGGCTTCAGGGAGACATCATGCAGAGCAGCCTCAGGTTTACTCTCATGGCTATTCCTCACCACTACTGAAAGCATTTGACAGGTGAGCGGTACAACTGTTACTCTGTAAATATTTGCAGTGGGTGAGTTGACATCCTGGCGAGAAGCCCGGGTAGCTCCTGGGTCATGCAGCTCCTCGTTTGTGCTTGCTGAAGCCTTGGTCCCCTCATGGTTCACACAGTCTCAGCGGAGGCTCTGCTCCTCTTTGCTTGTGTTCTGTGTTACAGACCAGCAAACACAGTGTGACAGATTTACTGGTGGTATCACCTATGGCTTTGCCTCTCAGTACCCTGTGGGTCATCTTGTAAAGTTTTTCTTGAACCTGTCTGTCCTGGTAGGAAGAAGACTGGAGGGAGGATAGTGGGTTCACAAGGCAGTCTGGAGTCAATCCAGCAGATCTTATATTAGGAAGAAATTCTTTACTGTGAGGGTGGTGGGGGGAGGTTGCCCAGAGAAACTGTGGATGCCCCATCCCTGGAGTCGTTCAAGGCCGGGTTGAATGGGGCTTTGAGCAACCTGGTCTAATGGAATATGTCCTTGTTCATGGCAGGGGAATTGGAACTAGATGATCTTAAGGTCCTTTCCAACCCAATCCATTCTGTGATTCTGTAACCATGTATCAGTGTGGCACCAGCAGGACCTTCAGACCAGTGTCTTGGTCCTATGTGGAGAATGGGAATGCTGTGCTCTGCCTTCTCTGGGTTTCCAGGGACTCTTCTGTGAGTGCCTGGTGGGATGCTCTGAGGGGCAGATCATACTAAGAGCCCAGCAATGTTATCAATTCACTTGTTTCCTTCAGAGAGAAAGTGGGCACCTGGAGTGCATAGAGACTCTCTCCCACATGTGCTATTCTTCAGGGAGCAGTTTGTTTCTGTTAGTAGTACCCTGTGTTGATCCCTGTCTGCTCTACGCGTGTGTCTTTTCCACTAAGAAATGGACTTTTTGGGGCAAGACACTTTTCACATATTTCTATTTAATATGAAGAATAACTTAAATTCTGAAAGTTACAGTGTTTGGGAGAGGAAAGGGATATGTTAGAATAATACAATGCAGCATTTTTTATACTTTCCCTTTTAAACATGATTCTTAAATTTAAAATGTCTTAAAATAAGGTTGGAGAAAGGTCAAGTAACACAAATATGAAACAAAGATTCCTTTTTTTCCCACCTCAACAAAATATTTCAAGTTAATCCAAAGTTAATTTTCCAAGGGTTTTGTTTGCTTATGAAAAAAAAACTTAGTCTGATCTTCCTCTCCAGTGACTTTTTCTTTGTGCTTTTTTGCTTGTTCAAACACCAAGCTGAGAGTCTTATTTGTCCAGCTGGTTTCACCAGGAATGTTGCTCACTTAGGTGAGCTATTTTCAAGTAAATGCTGACCAGCTGAAATTCTGGCTTGTTTAATTTCCTAGAAAAATATTATGACCCCTGAACAGGGGGTCTGCTTCTGATACTGACTTACTCAGGGACTGCCTGCAGTGCAGTTTGATTCCACATCTATAAAGCACAGCTAATCTACATGTGTGCATGCCTGGGGACTATGGATAATAAAATATAATGGAAGTGTTAAGGGTGCTATAATTGTTTTAAGGATGTACTTCACTGCATGCTGTTCAAATACTTCCTGTGCTCCAGGGGGAAGGAAAGCATTGGGTAGTAGAGGTAGTATACATTAAAAGAACTGAATACATGTTGCAAAGCAGTATGGGGTGGAATAAATTTTTTCAATCTGTTTGGACCTCTCAATCCTTGGCCCTTGGCACTAGACTATCTGAAAATTGTGACCGGAGATGGGGATAATTGAAAATACAGTGTGACAAAATAAGATTTCCTTCTCAGTTCAGTGACCCCCAAAACTGGAGAGCAGGTAGGTATTTTTTGCTTTCTGTGTTGGGATACATCCAATACTAATACATGTAAAGAACTTAGAGGTGGAAAAACAGCTTGTAGAAAAGGCTGTAGCAACCATCCTACCTGGATGTTTCTGTGCTGTGTACTGAATATGCTCCAGTTCACTCCACTGCTTCAGTCATTTAGAAAAAACTGCCCTCCAGTTCCTTGGCTAGGGAAGCCCAATTTTTTTTTCTTTTAAAGCTCCTGAACTTTGAACAGGATGTTGGTCTTGTCCTTGAGGGTGTTTTTTCTTTGAATTCAGTCTTAGGGCAGGCATGGCACAGAGACCCAAGATGGCACCAGTGATCAGACTGCACTTGCACAGTGAGCCACGAGGTGTAGGTTTTACTCATCCTCCTCTCCATTTCTGCTGTAGAAAATTGCAGAAAATTACCAAGTCTTTTGCTGTGGGAGTTGAGTACGTGTCAGAGCTTGTGCAGAGGCAGAGGAGGGATCTGTTGTAGTGGGTCATTGTGCCCTGTGGGACTGTTTCCCTCTGCCACATCTTTTCTCAAAATATTTGGGAAGACCCTTCTGTTTCCCAGTTGGCCTCCTTGAGTTATGTGTTAAGTGTACATGTACTAAGCATGAGTACTTTGCTTGTGAACTGTCTTTGCTGCTCTTCCTGGTGCCTGCTGAAGATATTTCCTTCTCCTCTCCTTTTTCTTGTGATTGGTGATGAAATACAGTTCCCTGCCTCTGGAAGCACCAGCAGTGTGGTTCTGTAGGCATGTTAGTGTAGCGGTCACTCCATCATGCTAAAAATCCTTTTCACCACATTCAGCTTCACTCTTAATGGAGCCAATGCTGCTCCTGAGAGAGAAGGGAAGTGTTCAGAAGGAGGAGGAATTGCCTTGCACACACACAGACACAATATTTTTAATCACCTCTTCTGCTTCCCAGGCTTATATTTACACACAGATAAATACTGTTATATGCGAGCATCGATGTTGCTCTTTGTCACAGTAGCAGATCTGGAAAACCTTCTGGTTTTGGTGTGAAACCCCATTACTCTGATAATGTGAAAGATTTTGCTGTTCAGTACAAACCTTCATCATGGGATGTACCTTTTGGCTTGATGGAAGTTGAAAGGATACTATGACTATTTTCTCTTCTGAGACCCTGTAATTACTTTTGTAAAGTTCCTAGAGGTCTTCGGCCAGGCAGGTGTTCTCAGA